ATATATATATATTTGAACAACCTTTAGCATATTTTTCTTTGCGAGGAAAGAAACTAATTTTGAGAGCTTGTTTTGCTTTGTCATGACGATCAGGATGGGGAACTATGAGTCATCATGTTGATTTTTGTTATGGTGAAATCTGCTCATTTTTAAAACCCATGCAAATTTTCCATCATTACCCTAATGTAGGGATGTCAAACACAGTAACACAAGAGGTCCAAAATTCAAAACTTCAACAATATTAATTTAAAAAAAGTAATTTCACCAACTATTCCTATAGAAAAGCAATTAACCTTTTTCAAATGGTGTTTTATGTAGCATTTAGAATTAGCATTATGCATAACATAACCGATAAAGAAAAAAAAAAGGATCGAATTTAGAGACATAGCGTTTATATTTACGCCTTATCAAGAACTTTTTCATTTATTATTTCTTAGAGACAGATTTTATCACAATCCAGCAAATCAGTTAAAAAAAAACCTCATTAAAAATCCAATTATTTGACTTTTAATAAAGAGAAGAATACAGGAAAACATAATTAAAGTTGATTTTTTTGCTCTTTCCACATCAAAACCAACGATTCCTGAAAAATTCTAACTTACTTTTCCTGGTTTGAAAGTTGGCCAGCTGTCATGAGAAAACTGCACTGAATACAGAGACTAAAAGAGAAACTATCAAACTCTTTCACATTTCAAGCATTACCTTTGGAGATGTATACTATGGTAACGAGGACCAGATTTGGCCCACGGGCCTTGAATTTGACACATGCACCCTAATRGATTTTGTGGATTGTGAATCAATTTTTGATTTGTTGTGATTAGAATTACCCATTTATTTGTGGCTATTCGTTGGAATTGTTCCACACTATGTTGCTTTATGGTTGGAGTTGTACATTTAAAATGATAAACTTGATCCCACATTTTGCTCCTTACCTTTCTACTCCRTTTAATTTGTATCTGTGTTTCTTGGACATCAGCAAACCCCCTCCCCACGCAGCCTGCACAAACACAAACACAACACGCTGCTTTAATCGCTACACGTGGAGCAGAAATGTAAATYCGTGTTCATAGGAGAGGCTTTTCTTACGTCCACGTGAAGCCAAATCTTGTACTTTTCACAGATGTCTGCTATGTCGTTGATGGGGTCGAAGGCTCCGTACACGGTGGTGCCTGCGGTGGCGTTCACATACATGGGGACATAACCCTGCAGGCCGAAAGCATGACAAAGATTAAAAAGGTACAAAAAAATCTGGTCTCAGTTCTGGTAGTTTTGTCTTCTTTTCGTTCTTTCTGCATGCTTCTTTGTCGCTGGAGGGAAAATTGTGTTTCCTTCTTTCTTTTTTAATCTGCACTTTGCTTTTTTAGAAATTACTTTCACGAGAGGAGATTTAGACCATCAGATGTAAAGTGAAAGGAGGGTTTKCTTTTGCTGCTTCAGCACCTTGGACATTTATTTTACTTAAAGCGAGTCTTACAGCTTAGATGAGTATTTCTGAGTGTAGGAAGAAATGAATTGTGGGAAATAAATAAGTCATCAGACTTTTTTTTTTTTACCTTTTGCTTGGCCTCGATTATTTTGGCCTCCAAATAAGCAGGAATGACTCGYCCTCTGGAAAAAAAAAGCCATATGTCATTTAAAAATGTCAGTTTCTGAGTGTGCACAGCAGGTTATAAAAACAAACCTCTCATCTGTTTTTAAAAGGATCAGGTTCTCTGTTCCAAAACCCAGAGTTGCACTCGCTTTCTTGATTGAATAGTGGCTCTGCAGAAACAGAACATCATCAGTCACAAGAGTCGGTTTTATCCACCAGAAACAAACAAACAAAAAAAGGTGTGGGGTGGCGGATTGTTAAGATTTATGTAAATGTTGGACTAACGAGCTCAGAGGTGAAGAGCACCAGCCTCGGAGCGGCTCCCATGCCTTTGGTCTTGACTTCAGGGAAGACCTTGTATCTGGCGACCATCACGCTGTACATGTTGGAAATGGCTCCTCCTGAAGAAAACAGTAAAGGTGGGATAAAAAGAACAGTGTAGTTTACCCTGCACAGACAAAAGTGCTACTTATCCCTGTAGTTACATGAAACTTTTATTTACGTTTTAAATCGTAATTTTGCTCTTATTTTCAAATACCTAAACTACATCTTGTGTGATTTTCAGTAATCTTTTGTTTTGCACTTTATTTATTTTTTGTTCTTGCTTCTGAACTCTCACTGACTGACTGTAACTGTTTTTCTTTTCTTTGCCATGATGACCTCATCTCTCTGTGACTCCTGCACAATAAAGTTTGGATCAACATATGTTTGACAACCTGTATTATTTCTGGGAAGTGTTATTGAAGGGATGTATGTTTATTTGGTAGATTAAGGATTATCTGAGTGGAAATAGCTGTTCTCACACAATGTTGAGAAAATATTCCTGTAAGAACTGATGTCTGTGTTCCAGGAAAATATAGCAAAAAGTCCTGATAGAGAGATGTGTCCCAACTCATGCCCAAATTTGGGTTTAGTGGGTTTAGTTTAGATTGAGTCATCTCTTTGTTAAACATTTTATTGAAGAAAAGCTCATATTTATGTTTAAAATCTATAAAACAGACTAAATAAATTATTTAATTATGGGCCTATGCATTCAGCAGGTTAAAAACAAACTGAAATATATTAATTATTAACTTTTAAATAGGCCTTTTTCCAAAACAAGACTTTATTTAAATATTATGTTAAATTATTTTGGTTTTTGACTGCTATTTTGAACTGTTTTAATGAGAGTCTTCTTGGTGCAACTTCTTTTAATGACGTGCTTCTCTCATGTCTCAGCTTTAGTTTTTTTCTGGTTTCCTGTTTGACGCTGATGTGTCTTTGTTTAATTTTCTGTCCATGTGTTTCCTGTTTACTGTCCCAGCCCTCTGCTTCATCCTTCATTCAATGTTTGCTCCACTTATCATATTCTCAGTTTTCATGAGCCCTTTAATTAATTCTTTAGTTTTCCATAAATCAACAGCTATCATTAAAACCAGCTATTTAAATTGGTTTTGCCATCATCTGTTTGCAGCATATTATGCTTTTCTGCATAAATAATTATATCTGAATATTTAGATGCATTGTTTTATCACAGGGAATCATAAATCCTTGCTGAAAAGCACACATCTAATGAAATRGAGATGAGTGACGGGCTTTGTTCAGCTGCTTGTTTTTACCTGGAGAAAATATCCCATCGCCCTCTCCGTTTGGCCAGCCAACGATCTCTCTCATCTTTTTGAGCGTCAGCTGCTCCATCAGCACAAAAACAGGGGCGATCTCATAGGTAAACCTGGAACAGAAAAATGAAAATAAAAATATTCGACTGTGGGGTCCTGACGTAGCTTTCAGTCAGGTTTTATTAACTTTCTAACATTTATAATCCACCACTACTTGCACGCTCAAATGTTTCTGTCTGTCAGCAACCAGTGGACAGATTACAATGAAGCTCTCAGAAACTATTGAATGAACATCTACAACTGATTTAAACTGGCTTCCATAGATAATTACCCATGGAAATTTTTACAACATACACAGTTTTACTAATATTTACCACAGACTTGGTGTAGTAGTTGAGAGTCATGCATACTCTGAGGTCTAAAGGATTTCACAAGGTCTTTGTTAAAAACTCCAGCATGCAAAGTGGCAGGAGAAATGCATCCCTTCAAGAAATGTTCATAACCAACACGAGTTAGCATTTCCCAACAGTGCCAACTTTTCTGAGACCCACTAAAACTGAACAAGATGCTTTTAAAGTCATCCTTTAATTAAAACTGTGCAGAACCGATGATAACGACCTGCRGTTATGTTCCCAAAACAAGCCTGTTGCAGGTGCCATAAATTTATTTTATCTTCTTGTATTATATAAGCAAATAATCCAAGCATACTGAAGCCGCTCTGCATCACAGTAGACTGTTTGGTTTTACCGAACGGAGAGACTCATCCATCTTTTCCACACAGATATTCTTCTAATTACAGAAGTACGTTGTCCAGTCATGCAGAGCCAGCAAATGAATCAGAAGATTTCAGGGCATTGCTGTGYGCTTCAGGGCWATATGGCAAGCCCTTTGTGTATTTATTTATTCTATATATTTCATACCAAGTCTCATTTCCGCCTGCTAGTTTGTGACTGCACAAGGTAAACATTTTGGTGCTCTGGCTCAACAAAAACTCTTTACTATAACCACTAACAAAAGCAGTCAACAACTACTAAGGTTTAAGAAATCTCTACAGGTTTACTAGTAAAAAAAAGATTTTTCCTAGTAGTCAATAATGGCTGTCAAAGTGTTCAAATTTGATAGCAAAACTTTAGTTAACTTTTTGGAATATAAGTCAACTTACTGACATCTTTAAGCACTCTAGTTATTTAAGATTTGATTTTTATTATTTTTTTCTGTTTTTTATTATTATTGTTTGAATTTCTTTTGGTGGAAAAAGGTGCAGATATTACACGATTTTTTTTTCTTTCTGCTGCCTTTCATTTTATTTTATTAGTCATTTGTATTTTGTTTTGAATATTGAATTTGCTTTGTTTTAAAAAAAATCATCAACATTTTAGGTGCACTACTTGACATTTAGAGGCACTAGTTAAATAGTAAGATCAAATATTTTCAATTATCCAGTGAGCACTTTGAATTATACTACTTAACTAGTAATATAACTAGTGTAAATAAATTTGACTTTAGCATCTTAGTTAACGAATCTACATTTTAGGCACACTAGTTCACTAGTTGACATTTCAGGTGCGCTAGTTCTAGTAGTAGTGGTAGCAATAGTCGGCTAGTGAGAATATTGGCCAGTACAAATTAAATAGTAAAGTCTAATTTAGGTGTGTTATTCGAATAATGCAAATAAATTTAATGTTACTAGTTATAGTTGGGTAATAATTCACTAACAATATTTAATCTGGCAGATAAAACGCTGATAACTTCACTGAACTCTGATCCAGAACTGCACGGCATTCTGGGGCATGTAGGCAGTTAACATTTTAGGCACATTAGTTCACTGACATTTTAGGTGCAGCTTCAACTACTCAGTTAGTGAGACTAATGGGAATTACAAGTTAACTAGTAAATTCTAATGTAGTTGCACAAGTCGAATAGTTCAATTAAATTTGGCGTTACTAGTTATCTAGTCAATATTTTAGGGGCACTAATTGATTTCCTGACATTTATGTGCACTTTTCACTATTAATAAGTTAGGGGATTACTTATTAACTGCCAAGGCTCTGGTGAACTGGTGCAGTGGGACTTTTAGGGTACTAGTGTAACATAATTGCTGACTATCATGACGTTTGCACCGACTGGTTGGGCAGAAGCGCCAGTAGTTGGCAACGGTTTTCCTAGTAAGAGTGTTTGTTGAACTAGCGCACCAAAATGTTGTATTGGTGAGACCAGACAGACAGTGAACTAGTGCTTGCTGTATATCTTTAGCATAAGCTCAAACAGAAATGTGCAGAACAAACATAAACAAGCCCGTCGCCTCCTCACAGATTTCACACATTAGTTTTAACTGCTTCATTCAAGCCAATGCGTCTTCCATCACTGGATTCTGTAAGACCTGGATGTGACTGTCGCTCTATTAGTGTCAGTCAATATCTACCAGGGATAATTAAGGTTGATGGACTAATTAATAAAGATAAATTAGAGTGGAAKCGGCATCCCTCAGGTCCGAGCCATCCACAGTGAGGTTTATTAAAGGTGACAGGTTGTAAAACTGATGGAAAGCTGATGACCAGAGCAGCTGGAGTCTGTGTGAGTTAACGATCAGCAGAGCATCCAGAGCCGATAACCTCGGGAAACCTCAACTTTATTTTCTGAAATTTTTGCCGTGAACGAGAAGCTGTTCTGACAGTCATAAAAAAGATTTAGTTACCAGTTATAGGAAGATAGGATGCATTTGTTTTCCAGACAGTAAATTACAGTAAAGTCCAATTTTATTATTATATATGGATTATAACAAACAAGTAATGCACTGGTAAAATACCTGATTAAGCTCCGATGAAATCATTACGTGCAACAAACAACTTTTTAAAGGGAATTAATGAGAAAGTTATTTGATTCTCCTAGATTATTAACCACAATAAAAATGTTTAAGTAAATGGTGTGGTATCCACTGGGTGTTTGCACAGACACTCCCTGCTTTTTGTCAATAAGCCTTTAATAAGTTTTTGATTGATGGATAATGTGGACTTTCAGGACCAAATGGATATCCTCTTTTTTATTTACTGACAAAAAAAGAAAAAACAGAATGCTAGTATCCTAAATTTGCAAAGTCCAAATATTTCATTTTTTTTTACCACAATTGTAGTAGATTGTTTGATTTATCAGTCTTTTCTAAACACATAAAATGATGGATTCTTTCAAGTTCTTCAACTTTTTTTGCAAACACAAAGGATTTAGTGGGCTTCCATTTCAGGGACATATTTTACCCCAGAGGGAATTGTTTGGTCAGAAGGTTGTGGAATGACATGATTTCCTTGTTCTGGGCCAAATACCTCGAGACTGAGATCCATATTTGGTCCAGCTGAAAGGGGGTGCATGGCCTTATTCATTGCAATGTAAATGCTCAAGTCTAAAATCTGAATCTGTGTTTTGGTTCGCTCTTGCCTACTCAGTAAATACCACCTTTTTCTAACAAGCTCATAAAAATAGCAGGAAAAGGCCCCTTCATGATGTTATTTACTCAGTAGGCAAGTACAAATCTAAAAACAGATCCAGTTTGTGAAGAAAATGCCTTTTTCTTAATATGGTCAAACAATTAAAGGTTGGACCAATGCAGCCTTTAATCATTTTGAGGAAGACTGAGTTTGACACTCTCTGTTAAACTCCTAATTCTTACATAAAGTATTTACACTGCCTGGCCAAAAAGAAAGTCGCCAACTGGATTTCAATAAGTAAATAGGTACGAGCCTGCTGCAGTTGTTCAGGTCTGGTTTCAGCAATATGTGCTCAAAGAACGAGGTCAGCTGACCACCTGAATATACTGAATGAGGTTATTCCATCAATGTATTGTGTCTTCCCTGATGGCACGGCCATATTCCAAGATAACAATGCCAGGATTCATTGGGTTGGAATTGTGAAAGAGTGGTTCAGGGAGCATGAGACATTATTTTCACATGAATTGACTCTAGAGTTTATTGAGAATCTTTGGGATGTGCTGGAGAAGACTTTGTGCAGCGGTCAGACTCTACCATCATCAATGCAAGATCTTGGTGAAAAAATAATGCAACACTGGATGGAAAAAAATCTTGTGACATTGCAGAAGCTTACCACAGCGAATGCACGCTGTAATCAACATTAAAGGCAGTCCAACGAAATATTAGTGTGTGGCTTTTTTTTTAGTCCATGCAGTGTATATTGAACGCTGCTCGTCTTTTGTCAACCCAGTTCAAGATGGCTGCCACAAGTAACTGACCTTAAAAACACAAACATGGCTTTAACTCAACTAATATTACACTTACTGATCTCATATTTTTTGTGGTAGTAGCTGAGAATAAGTCGCAATAAACCTTCTGAGAGAAAACAGATTGTCTGTTGGCAAAACATATTTTGAACAACTGAACGCATTTTCATGAAACTTCCTGGAAATAATCACTGAATGTTCACCTCTGATTAGCTTTTGGAGTCAATCTCCTTCAAGACAGATGCCACAGCCAGCTGACTTTAGAAAACAGAAAATTGGCTGTAATTGGTCAATTTTCCAGATGTTGAACTAAAATATAGTGTGGTGGTAGCTGGGAGTCTTTCACAAATGTGACAACTTAGAAGGTTTAAATGGCTACAACTCTACTAATCCTTTTCTTTATTTCTCCATACTACACCAGATTTGATTTTAAAGATTTGTTTCTTTATATGTAGCTAAATACAGAGGCTTCATCTTCAACTGAGTTCAATTTTTTTTWAATGTAAAATCAAGCAGGCCTATGGCTGCTCACATCACAAAGCTCGTTTTCCCTTCTTGACTTTGTTACGTCACAGGAACTCGCATCACGTGAAACAAAGACCCCTCGTAAACTGTGAATGTTAATCAATATGCAATTTAGTTCGCCAGCCTGCGGGGCTGAATTACATCCCACCTAGCATATTGACAACACTGAGGGGGTGTCGCTGTACAAACATCCTCGTTTGGACTCTTTATTTCTGTCCTTGATTGACAGTCGGCAGCATTTTTTTCTGTATTTTTAGCTAAAGATAGTGATAACTGTACATCACTGTAAGTATTCCTCCAGCCTCTCCTCTTCATGGACCATTGAGAAGCAAATGGGAGCAGAAACGTTGTGATTTAACTGCACTCACATGTTAGTGTTGGATGTAGACGTGAGCCACTCTCCCGCCAGTCCCACGATGTCTAACCCCGTGGACAGCTGGTTGAAGAACCTGGGGTGGCCTGATGTTGTTGAAGACACCACAAAACAGCACAATTAACCAGAGTCTAAGGGCTAACAAGAGTCATGGATCAGAGCAGGGAGTCCCACCTGTCCTCACGCCATACTTCAGGGTGTCCCTGCAGTCCACCAGGATCTGCTCCAGAGAATCGGGCTGGTCCGGGAGCTCCAGGTTGAAGCCCTCCATGCCCTCCAGCAGCTGGTGGGGGTGGTGGAAGTCCAGGACCTTGGTGGTTCTGTCAAAGGTCTTCTTGATGTAGCTGGTGAGGATTTCCACGACCTCCATCAGGAACTGCATGGTGGGCTCCTCTCCATTTTTAGCAGGTAACAGATCTGCAAAACAAGTTAGTAAATCTCATTTTCTTTTTGCTTAGTTTGGTCTGATTTTTTTCCGTCTTTCGATCATGCAAATCTCTGTTTTTCTGTGCTAGTTTGTTTGTTAGTTTGTTAGCAAAATATCTCCACTGATCAGACTTGAAACTAATCATTGGATTAACAATTAACTTTTGGAACCAACCTGATTCCAGATGGCTGCCACAGCAAATCAGTATTAAAAAACACAAAGATGCCTCTGACTTTGTCAGTTTCACAGATATTGAAATAAACCTTGGTGAGGTAGTAGCTGAGAGTTATCTCCAATATGTGCTTCAAGATTTCACAGGTTGAAAAAGATTTTTGTTTAAAAACTTCGAATGAAAGAAGGCAGGTAACGTTTATTCAAATAATAGCCTTTTGATTTTCTTTAGCTTTTTTAGTCCAATAAAACGCATCAGTCATTGTTTTGTAAAATTCAATTCTAAAATCTTGTGTTTTCATTTGTAACTTTTTTTTTATCAAAATGCAAAAGAATTTGCCATCAGATGGCTTAAGGAGGTCTTTTTTTTTTTGCACAACTCCAAAAATATCCACACAATATTTATTTTGAATTTCTTTGGTTTTCCATCAAATGCAACAACCCAGAGCTGCATCATCTCTGTAATAAAAGCAGGTTTCCCTCCTCTTACCTCGGGCATACAGGTTGGAGAAGTCGATCTCTGTGCGTCTGAAGCGCGCGTCTCCTCCGCTGTTGTCGCAGGAGGACAGCAGGTTTTTGGCCGCGCGCTCCTTGAAGGAACTCACGATCCCGCTCCTTTCCTCCAGATCGTTGTTCTTCTGCAGGAACCCTGGTTGGGTACACGGGGGGAGGGAAGTCCAGAGGATGGTTAGTATGCGTCCCGAACATCACCCAGCACTGAACTCATCCTTCTGTGTGGCTCTTTGGTCTGTGCGGACCGGCTGCTCTGCTTCATCCGCTCCTATTTATAGGCTGCAGGGGACCCGCGGTGACATCACCGAACTCAAATGGCTGTCACGTCCAGCGGCTGTAAATTCCTCTTCTTATCATTATTATTAGTTCCACTTTAAAAGAGCTCAAAAGCAGATTAGAGCTCCGAGCGTAAAAGCGCATTTCAGACAGAAGGCCGCGGTTATGAGAAAATTCCTCTAAATCAAACTGAACACRTGAGAAAGGCTCCTGGGATGTAAAACCTGCCCGTTTTCTTCCTCTGATAAGGACATTTAGTTTCATTGTGTTTAGCAGTTTAACACTCGGGTGTAATTAACCGGCCCTTAATGGAAAAACAGCCGCAAACTGCGCTGCGCAGTGGCGCGTGACATTCACCATTACGGTGGGTGTCAGGTCCGTCCTTGGTTGGACAGAACGAGCCTGAAACAGACTCTGAAAGTGGAAATTATGGAGAGAGAAATAATTTTCTCCTTTTTATATTTACTCCCTCACGCGAAAAATAAAATGAAGAAAAAATTTAATTAAACTTGTTTTTYAGCCTACACCTCTTTTCCAGGTTTACAAAAATAACAAAACAGCACAGCCTAGTAAATAAATAACATCAATAATAAACTATTTTCCTTATTTCTTTTATAATTATGTGCTGATAAATAAAATAGCCAAGGCCAACAATCTAAAAAACATGGCATTTATAACAATTTTAGAAGAATCGAGGATGAGGGAACTAGGGCTGCGGAGGGTGTTGCAGCACCCCAGACGGGTGTCTGATAAAATGCATAAAAACAAACATTAAAAACAATTTAAGTAATAAAAAAAAGATTTAATCAGTGCTGCATATTTTTGAATTACAGTATTATTTTAATATAAATAAATTCAGAATGTAAAGCAGCACTGTTCTGTTTGTGTACAGATTTTATTTCCTTTACAACTAGTGATTGTAATTGTATTACCTTTATTACCACTGACTGTCCAAAACACACAGCATATTGTTTAAAATGTCTTATATTCTAAGATAACATGCACTGCTAGTCTGATGGTATTCTGCATAAGAGTTGAAAGTCACTACCAGCCCACCCCCACCCTCCACTGAAAAAACGATGCTTTGACAGAAAAGGCAACTTACCACATATCTTCATCCCCAGTTTTCTYGTACAACCATGTGCCACTCCATACCAGGCATCGTAACCTGATTTTATTCAAGAAAAAACAATTTATTAGTTCAAAAAAACTCGTAATATTTCAGTAGATGTGCAGAAACAACAGCGAGCAGCATCCTCCACTGGGTGCCACCGTTTTATCATCAGGCCTTTCAGATTAATGAGACGTCGAAATTCATGGCAGACCGGCCTGTGGATCTAATTGAGTGAAAAGATGCTGGTTAAAATGTGGGTACAGACGGGCGCTAAGCGAGGCGAGGCGGCTGGATGGTGACAGATATGGAGAATTACTGCCTTATCAAGAGCTTCCAGCCTGGGAGGCTGCTGGTGGTATGGTGGGGGTCTAAAAAAAAGGCTCCAAAGCAGCAATCTGGGAGAGGAGGAGGAGGAGGAGGAGGAGGGGAGCATCAGCCCCACATCCCAGTTTAACCCTTGCCTTGGACCATTAGACGAATCATTGCTCAGATCAAATGAACAGATTTATTTTTCTCCTCTGAAAAGCTGAAGGAAGAAATGGACAAAAAAGCAGATATAGTTTTTTTTAAAGGGGACAATACATCTATTTCTAATGCAGGGCCTAATGGGATTTAATCATTGCTATCATCACATGGCTAAGCCTGGAAACATTATTTTTACCCCTATAAGTAGGCAAAAATACGATTTTAATTGCAATGAAATACCTCATCTTGTGTGTTTCGCCATTTTAAGATTTATTTTCTATTTACCTTTTATTATTATTTTATTTTAATATTATGTTTTTTTGTTCCCTGCTGACAAAATGAAAGGGTCGGTGGTACGGCTCAGTGCTCCTGCCTGAAGCTCAGGAGTGCCATTAGAGTCTATTTAATGTGGCTGAATTAACAGGCACTTCACAGGCAATTTTCACTTTTCAGTGCAGACGTTTCCTTCTGACATGAAGAGGAGAGAGAAACAAAAATATTTTATAA